CAACAAATATTCTGCCCAGGGAGGCAGAGAGCAGAGAGAGCTAGAGCAGCCAGAGTGAGATGACTTATGACCAGAAAAGCAGGGGACAGAGGAAGAGAATTGATGAAGTGGATGATGGCAATATAAATTATCATCATGATGCTTAAATTACTCGTTAGAAAAATCATCAGCAATTATTCTAAGATACACATAGAACTGTTTAGCTCAAAGTCACCCAAGMCACTTAGGAGACAGAAACTAATCATGAAAGGAAAAATTTCATGACCATAAAAATGTTGAACCAAAAGCATTTAATCTCGCATTATTTTTAGATGTCCATCATTAAACCACAGTGCCTGGGTGTGAAAATGTAACTCTGTGTTAAATTTTGTTAACTTGTACATAAGACCAAAAAGAACCAAATAACAAAAGCAATATTAAATGTATAGCATATGTGTGCACACACAGAGTCTGTAATAAAATGCACAATGAAAATTGATAAAGAAATAAATATTTCCATAACTTTTAGACCAGATTTCTGKAACTGTAATAATACCTCATTCATGACATACTCACAGACACAATTCTTGCTGTGGTACAAGGCACTGAGTACGATCACGTAGCAGCAAAATGAACTCCACAAAATGGTTCAAATCATTCTTATCATCCACTTTGATGATTAGTTCACAATTTTAGTAGAATGAATCTACTATCTCTGTCAAACAATTCCCCCTTTATTCTTTTGCACAAACCAATACCAGCCTGMTTATAATTTCTGCTCTTGGAATCAACAGAGAGATTTCCAAGCAGCCTTTATGGTTTTTATGTGTCCAGAAACAAATCTAAATATTTTACCTGTTTTGGCCTCCAGAATTGCTGGACCCAACARGAGTAGCCATGTCCAAATCATGGTGGTACCCATCTCACCAGGTGTTGCTGGTAAAAAGGATCTCACAATATATAGTCTCTATTTCTGAAGGGGAGTGGCTCTACAGGTTTCTTTTTCGACAGGAGAACAATAAAACAACCACAATCCTCTTACTTGAAACAAACAAATGTTTGATTTGTTATTTAATATTTTGTAACTTCCTGGGTTTTGCAAAAAGACAATATCACAAGAGTAACATTTTCCATTGCCTGGAAGGAACTATTTATGCTACCACAGGTTTCACAATCGTCTCATTGTACCAAAAATAAGAGAGCTCCTGTCCAAAGATACCTTTCGATTCTGGCTGATGAATCTCAGCATTTTTCTTTCATGGGGAGGTTCCTGGACAGGTATTGGGATGGTWGTGGAATCTTGAAACTTAAATGGGTTCTTCCAGCAGTACTAAAAGACAGTGGCCAACTAATGTGGCAAGGCTCCCTGGGGAGCCATGAATGTCCTGAAGCTTCAGCATACTTTAAACAAAATAAGATCAGACCTGGTGGCCCTGTTTAAGTATAACTGGGGGGTCTCTGAAGAACCTTGCAGTTGCAGTTAGAAGTTCCAGCTCCAGTATAAACCTATTATTTTGGGCACATTTAAGTTCAAACCAAAAATTGGGTCAAAATTCACTGACAGATTGCAAGGAAGTGTCAGAGAATCARGGTGAACTGATAACTTTTTTGTGCAAATGCCATGGAAAAATCAGTGGATTTGACAAATAGTTAAGCAAATTACATAGGTTGAAACTTAATTTTCGTTCTAAAATTTCATTTGATCCTTTGAACCAACAAATCAGGAGGAAAAAAAAGTTCAGCTTTCTTTAGATTAAGAGAACTTCTTAATGTATTCCTTGCTTAATTTTACACAGTGACTGTTACAGATCTGTCATTCTTTGAAGAATGAATCCAAGGCTTTCCCACAATATGAAATAATGCTTCATTCTCATTCATTACTATCTTGCCAGAGTGGTTACTCTCCTCTGTTTCTGTGTTTCTAACAATTTAACAAGAGAAGTTGATGAACATCCTAACACTGAAGAGCTGGAAATTGTTCTCCATCTCATCCCTATTCCACAGCCACCATGTCTTGGATGGAATCATCACCAGTTAAAATTGTTGCCATGTACAAATTTATTGCCTGCAGGGACAGTCATCAAGCATGAACACCAAAGCCCAGGGGGAAAAGAGAGTGATCTAAACCATCTTTCCACAAAGGCCAATATCACTGGAATGAAAGAAGGAAGTGAAAAATACAAGAGGCCAAAGATAACTTTGGAAGCCTTGAAAGTGAACATTCAGAATGGTAAATATGTTTCTTCTTTATCCAAACAACCACATTTGCACATGAATGAGGATATGTACACAAGACCTGTTATTCACTGCTCATATTCTGGTTTTGACACCTTGACAAGAAGAAAACATCCAGTATATTTGACTGGCCAATCAAACACTGCAGTCAGTGAAGCGAGAGTGAGTGATGGATCACAGTCCTTCTCCAAACTCTTGCAATAACTGAAAAGGATGACAAGGAAGGGGAACATGAAAGGGATTCCCAGGTGGTTCAAGACTAAAAGATGTCTTAAGCTGCCCAGGTACAACAATAAGATTGATTGATGGATTGATGGATTGATTGATTAGTTCTTCACTACCTTCTTCACTAATAAATTCTTCATTTCAAAAATCTAGATAACTCTAGAGATCTTTATTATCAGACAATCTCTGCACAGGGGAAATAGATAAATAATTTATTTTAATTAATCTTAATTAATGCAAATACCACACAGTATTTCACCCTTCCCACTGGCTAGGTAAATCTCTTGCAGTAACACATTTTTGTTCTCAAGGTCTTCTTTTGGCAGATTAAGGTAATTCCCAACCCATCATTCTGTGAAAGAAGCTACACTGAACTTTGAAAACACTTTCTCTTCTGCTGACTAYTGTGAGGACAMTTTGCAAACACACTGGGTATTTTTRTGATAAAAATGAAAGGACAAAAAAGATTAATCAGCTTTCACCCATGACTACAGGTAAGTATCTACACTGGGATAAGGATGTGCACAGACTTCTCCAAAAAGGAATAGTAGTCTGAATCCAGWCAGGAAAATTTGTGGCAGAGAGATCATTCACCAGGYAAATGTACCTTTAGAGCATGTAGCTTTCCTCATMATCAAKCCCAGTTTTCTTGAATCCTGCATTTCTGTTATGCATATGGATCAAGGGAGATGGCAAGAAATRAGGATGAGTCTGAGATGTCTACTACCCAAACAGTTTGGAAATGCTTTCTACAGCAATATTTAATATGGAAGCCAGTGAACTTGGTAAATGTCATCATCTTGCATTCTTATCCAGCCTTGTTATATCTCCATCTGGGAGCCCTGGCACAGACATGCAATGGGAAAACTCAGCTCTGAACAGGACAGGGACAGTGAGGGTTGGAGACACCAGGACCTGGGCCTGGGATCTTTCTGCTGGTCACGATATTGGGAGAGTAGGAGAGTTTAAAAAGCACTATTGAACTTTAGACTGTGAGACAGTGGGGCAGCAGCAGCACAGCAGCACGGCCTCAGCAGGAACAGGGGCAGGAGAATACAGCAGGTCTGGGAGAGAAGAAGGGAAGTCCTGTTCTACAGAGTTAGGACAGCCCTTGCTGTGCTGAGCAGATGAATGGACTCTTCTGAGCCAGGACTATCTCTGGTCCAGAGAAGAAAGGCAGCTCAGCCTCCTGGGTTGCTCTGCCCTCCTGGGTTGCTTTAGGCAGAGAGAAGAATATAGGAGGACCCTCAATTCTKGTTCCTCAAGTGTGGAAAAAAACTCACACTTTCTTGTGTGCAGTGCCAGCTCCTAYTTCTGTGACCCCTTCTCCACATCACAGAGATGTGATGGGAGATCTGCCTGGAATCATGAGGAGAAGGCAGCTTGAAGAAACAAACTGTGCAGTCTGATTCCCGTCAGAGCTGCCCTCATCCTCCTGGCCAGGTCAGGATGTCACCCAAGAGTACAGCTCACCTTCCTCACACGTCACCACTTTGGCTCACCTTACACATCTGACACTCTTCTGTTCCAAATTMACTTACCTCTTTCACAGCTGGCTGGAAAACAGGAAAGTCTCAAGAAGGGCATTTCTCAATCAATACCRGTGACCTTTCCACCTGTATTAAGTAGCTTCTTCCAAACAAATTCTTCCTTTTTTGTTGTTTTTTTATTTTGTTTTCACATGGGGATAGGAGACAGATAACACTTCCTTATGAGAACTAACATACATTTTCTCCCTCCCACCCATTCCAGGTGTAGAAATGTGTGAGATCAAGAGCAGGAAGCCTTGCTTGGCAAAGTCACTTGGTCAGAAGCCACATTCTCCAACCTGACAATCAGTTAGCCATGAGTTCACACACACAAGTGTGTTTGAAAGTACACAAAAAAAAAAGTATTGCTCAAAAACCATTTTCTTTCCTTCTTTTTTTAATTACACATTTATGTAACAGGATTATATTCATCCTCTATACAAAACCTTATAAATGGCCTACATTTACTCAGAGAAACATGCAGTTGGGAAGAACCGTACTGCCCAAAGTCAGGAATGCTGTACAGGAGTAATTCCTCATGTGCAGCCCCTGAGCACTTTTGCTTACAGCTCATTATTGAGATATTTTTAACTGCAAAGAAACATTTTTATCTTGGACTACTTCCCAGTGTATCTCATGGTGCTTCACAAGTGTTTCATCTGCATGTCAGCAATGGCCAAAGAAGTCAGCTCTTCTTTYTCAAGTCACCGAAATTAGTCTTCTCAAGCAGACATTCAAAAAGGAGTTCAACTGAAATGCTTTGAAATGTCCAGCATTGAAGACTTATTTGGATGCTGGGATGAGTGAACTCTTTTTCACACCTTAGGTGTGTTTGGACGAGATTTTAAAATCAGATTGCTTTATAAATTCACTTCATGGTAACATCAGGTGTAATCTTTCTTCTTCAAATACGGCCTGGATGGTGAAAAAGTCAATTAAGAGCTGCCCTGTGCAGGTTGCAAACCGAAATAACGAAGCAGGTGGATGGTGAAAGCATCCTTCCACCTTCCTGGAGAAGCCTGGAGCTGCCTCTCACATCATCTGGTACGGGATGGGCTTCTGCAGTTTCCGCTTCAAAAGAAATCCTCCCACTGTGAGAACAGCAGCTACCACGGCGCTCACAGCCAGAGGAACGTGGGAGCTGGCAGCAGGCACTGRGCTCCCAGTCTCCCTTTTAGCCTGGATGTCAGAGGCCAGCTCTGTGCATAAAAAAGTCAGAGAGAAACTTGCATTTTTCTTCCTGAGCTAGCTAATTACAAAGATAATCAGGCAAAGAGAACTGGAGTTAAAATGCTCTAATCTGAATCTGATCAGGAACCAAATTGTTTTGCTGAAATATTATATTATTTCACAAATGATTCTGTGGCCATGCCAAGCAAGTAAAGATTGCAGCAAGGAATTAAAGAGCAACTGGGAGTCTGTAATGATTACACTCAAAGACCTTAAGATGTTGCTTTCTGGTAGTGGAAAAGCAGCTACAAAGCACTAAKTAGCATTTCCAAGAGGACCTGGAGATTGATTGTTATTAAATAAGAGACATTACAATCAGACAGACAGCTTTGGAAAATTAATATAAATCTGGCAGGCAGATGAGTTACATCCTTCTACCCACAGAACTGAATCAATTGCAATTTGACATGTGCAGAACAAAGAATGGAKCTAAACTATGACAGAAAGGAAAGAGCTTGTAAATCTAAGAGAACTGTTTGATATATATGAAAAAATAATAATCCCCCTTAAGAATTATAGCAGAATTGTAAATAAACCAGCAAAGGCACATTTCAGAGATGGATTTCATGTCTGAACTGAAATGCAAACACACAGTAACACACAGTGTCTTACGTTATTACAGATATTTAAACTTACCAATGTTCCTGTTCTCAGCGTGAGCTTCCCGAAGCTGCACRGGTCCAATAACAACATTCACTTGTTGATGGGAAGAATCTGCATTCCTCTTGAACCTGCTAACACAGCCTTGATAGCAGCGGGAGGAGTAGTCGTGGTACCTGCACACCACCAGCTTACACTGCAGGAAAACTGACGGGAATCGGTTCACAAATGAGAAAGACTTAAACCCAAACCGAGCAACATCACTGCGTGGTGAGGGGAAAAGCATATAGGTGGAATCACTAGCACACCTGGAAAGATATAAAACCAATAGATTAGCTGTTAGCTCACAGCTCCTCTTGAGTAGAAGCACTATTACACCCTCTCTGTKCAATGAGTTTCAAGGTTAAATATGAAACCAGGAAGTAAAAGAGAAATCAAAAGGTTTTAAAAAAAGTGCTTTTAGCAAGAAGAGAAATTACTAAATGTACACAGCAYAGAAATTTCACAGCTCAAAAAGTTTTGTGTAAACCAGAATAGCTGAAAAATGGCTAATGTTCTTCTGGTTTCTGTGTTTCAGGTGAGAGCCTGTTTTTCATTTACAAACAGGATTAACGTTTGAAAAAAGGCTCCTGAAAGTTGTTGCAGAAAGTTTCCCTTTCTACATTGGAAGTATAAAACTAATTCTAATACACTTTTTTTAAAAATAAAACATTCTTTTTAGTGCTTCAACGGGCTTTGGTGTAAAATTAAGCAAAACTGTTTAGGTTTCTAGAACAATAAGAAAAGGCTAAGGAATTTCTCTTCTTTTTGAGCAGACAGATTTGTATTCCAGTTATGAGGCTCTAAAACTTGTTATGCACAGAAATGGGGAGCCACTGACATCTCTCCATTTCATACATCTATTTCAGAAACAAAGTCAGACCTCAATTTCTTCACTGCCTCCTTGAGTGGAATCCCAGTGCTCCACTGAAACTTCTAAATGGCATTTCACTGTTATTCTGTATTTTATTCAGGCTTTGCCCCAAAGGGTGTTTGCCCTGAGAATTGCAGCAAAGGTACACCAGCCCAAAATCACCTCTTTCACAAATTAAGCTCTTTTAGAACCATAGAGACACTCTTAAAGTAATATTTTACGAAGTTCTTACCCGCTTTTGATCAGTTCATAGGACAGTGTTACAAAATCAGTAGAATTAGGCGATGCTACGCATGTGTCCACAAACACCGTCAGATTTTGGTCAGAGCTGTGAAGAGAAGCCTGAAGGTACAAATTCTGATTCATGTCAACGTAGTATGGGAAGTCATTGACTGGCGACTGGAAAGATGAGGAATTGTAGAACGTCAAGTTKGCGTCGTATCTGCCATACTGGATTTCACTGACATGGATGTCTTCACCAATGTACATGGCTTGCACCCAGGTGTCCCTCAGCATTTTGCAGCTGATGTGCAGGTAAAGGTCCTTTTGCCTCTTGATGACTGTACCAGGAGCAGCCGCTTTTATCACGTTGGAGTAGGTGATTGTTTCATTGTTGCCCTATTTGACACATTAAATGAGTGTTAAATGACCACATGTGGTCATGATCACTGTAAATATTGTTCATGACCACATGTGGTCATGTTCACTGTAAATATTGTGTGTACTCTGAACTTCTGTATGTGCCAGGTCCTAGCAGGACTAAGAAGGGACGTGTCATGCTGAAAAATCCCAAGCACCCAGGACAGGATTGCTCACTTAACTCTGCCCTCTATTTTTGTGCTCTAGAACATCATTCTGAAATAGGTACAGGGAAGGATATAGGCACCCTAAGAAGGATAAGTAGAAATATTTTACAAACTTCAGCCTCCAGAATCTCATGCTCTATGTTTTCTATGTTTGGAATGCCTGTGGCCTATGACACCCTTTGCAATCCATGCCAATTTTCCAAATATCTATTAAATTCCCATGCCCAGAGCTCTCCCAAATATGTTGACACCAACCTGCCTACGTGTACCGCAGCTGCTGTATGGAATGCTGAATATAACCTCAGTTGATGTAATATTTGGTCTGCATTTAGGGTCTGCCAAGCTGATGCTCTCCACTGGGTAGCCCTGGGACTGAAGATAGTGTCTGTCCACCACTGCACGCATGTAGGTTGGCAAGCACAGAAGGGCTAGAGGACAAAAATTCAAATTATTAGTGATTTTAGGTACTTGATAATGCTCCCATATTGCAAATCCAACAAATTTGGCAATAACTGCTACCATTTAGAGGAGAGTATTTACAAGCCAGACCACTTATTTTTACACTTGAGATCTATATATGAGTAAGCAATAGGACAGTATTGGAACAGAACAGGTCACCCAAGGAAGTAGCTTTAAATATTTCATCCTTTGAATGTTTCTTGAGACACGGCTAGATCAGTTCTTAATGGATCTGACCTGGTGATGGCAATAGCTCTGTTTTGAATAGTTGGACTAGGAAACCTCCAAAAGCCCTTCCTAACCAATATTTCTATAATTCTGTGAAGTTTGTCCAGAAAGGTACAAAAATATGTATGAATTATGATGTGATACAAAGAAATATGAGTCTAGAAAATAACATAYAAATCATCTAAAGGCAATTAAATTAAGTATTTTTAAAGAAGAAAAAGAAGTTCTTTTCTGAAAGTGAGAGGTCAATAATCAGTTACAAAATTCAAGTAGGAATATCATCTCTGTGGGATTCCTTCAACAACATTAACAAATACTTCTATAGTAAATAAAATCAGGGCAGCTTCTGAGCAAAGAAAACATTACCAACAGAACGGAGCTACAAATAGAATGAAAATTTACTGGTGTTTTGGTCTGCTGGAAAGGACTGATACTGAGCTTGAAAACTTCCATTGGAATATCTGGAGTCACTGTAAAACTTGACAGTCATTAAGTTTGAGGAKGATGTGTATGTGAGAGTAGAACTAGAACAAATTCTTCCAAGTGAAGGAGAAGAGTTGGGTGGCCCATCATAGATCTCAATATAGGAATACTGGCATCCACCTTGCAACCTGAGGAAGACATGAGAATATATTAAAAATATATTTTTAATATATTTACAATTTATATATATTAAATCTTTAATATATTTACATTTGGTAAACTTCGGGATTTAAACACTGAACAAACAATATAATAAGATTCTGCTCTCATACACTTCCTATGTATACTTATCATTCACTTATAAGATGGGAAATGTACCCAGGAATTGTGGATGAAGTTGAGATTTGGAATTTTCTTATTGCCCAAGCAGAAAGTGGTTTACTTACTGGATGTTATCAAATGTGAGCATAACGCGGAAATTGTTTGTTACATGTATTTGAAACAAACAATCTGCTTTATCTGGATAATTCAAAGAAGGACTCTGAAATGATCCAGAGGACTCRGAAAGTATGCCACCGCAAATAATTGTTTGACCTGAAAAAGGAAAGAAAAAGAAAATCAGGTAKAGAAGTGATTAATTTAGCTTTACTTCTGACCAAATAAAAGCATGTTCTATATACCCAAACCATGGCAACACAAGGTTAAATTTCAAAAGAAATATGATTGTGCTCCTCTCTGTTAGGCAACAAGAGTGATGAACTCTTCWGAGAATTCTGACCCATGCTTGCAGCTGTTAACTGTGTGAGCTTCAGGCACATAGATATGAAATAAAATAAGAGGTGATGGTCTAAATACCATCAAATCAGAGAATGAACAAAAGAAAATCTCCCATGTAATCAGCATACTCTGAAATCTACTCCCAGCRACAGAATCACTCAAACAGAAAAGACCAGAGTGTAGGATGTAAAGAGTTAAAAGCAGTAAGGTTTTTTTCCCAATGTATTATATTATGCAAGTGACACAGCTCACACCTGCAAAATATTAATTAAAACTTCCAAAATAATGGGTTTGAGAAATGGAAAAAGACACATAGACATGGAGGATTTCTAACAGCAGTTGTGTTTCAGGCGACTCTATGTGACAAAGAGAAAGAAGCAGGCAAGGCACTGCTGGTGGATGAAGGAGCATGGCCAKGTTTTCCACCACTCCTGGGCACTTTGGTGCCACAGTCACATGGGAGATGGAGAGCCTGGGGAGCTCAGCAGGGTGGTCTTATGTGGGGGTTCAACCAAAAACATAATCCTGCACTCATCCCCAACATACACCCAAATCCAGTGAACTATGGACACTTTCTGAAAGTGTCCCAGTGTGAAGAAAGTAAAATCAATGGTACCTGAGCATTTAACACCAGCATCTTCACTGTGTCCACAGTTGTGGGTGCCCCAGCCATTGTGACCGCACTGGAATAGGGATGACTCCGTCCCTACACAATTCACATYGTCCAGGTAGATATTGCCACTGCCTTGTCCAAAGGAGGCGCTTGATGTTGCAGAAAGGGCAGGGCCACATCCCAGCTGCCTGCACACGACCTGGGCATCGTTCAGGTCCCAGTYGTCATCACAGACAGTGCCCTGGACACCGGATTTTGAAATCTCGACGCGACCCTCGCAGCGGTGACTGCCGCCCACCAGGCTGATGGTGGCAACTTGGAAAGAAGGAGAAATGGAGAATTGGGAAGAGATTCTAGCACAAAGGCACCTTCTCTTGCCGGGGTCTTGGCATTACTGTGAGTTTTAGGCCACCACGACTCYYAGTCTTGGCTGTGKTAAACTGCTTTACCTGGGTTCTCCTCTCCCATGGAGAAGACCAAACACCAAACTCTAGGGCAGTAAATACTTCTGCAAGAAGCACTAGTCAGAAAACCCAGGAGAAATTCACACCGACTGTAGGAGCAGAGAGGGTGGGGCTGGGTGTGGTTGTGCTTGTGCTTGGGGGAAATGTAGGAGAGGAAAGGAAAGAGGTAGGTGAGGATGCAGGATCATGAGGGTTTCTCCCAGCACTGGGGATGTTGGTGTCACCTTGGCACAGGGCAGTGGAGAGCYTGGGGGTGTCMGCAGAATGSTCTCACAYGGTGGGATCAATCAAAAACATAATCCTGCACTCATCCCCAATGATTCCAGCCAGCAACRGACACTTTCTGAAAGTGAAGAAAGTCAAACCAACGGTACCTGAACACACAACACCAGCATCTTCACTGTGTTGACAGTTGTGGRYRCCCCAGCCATTGTTGCTGCACTGGAAGAGGGACAACTCTGACCCTGCACAGTTCACATTGTCCAGGTAGATATTGCCACTGCCTTGTCCAAAGGAGGCGCTTGATGTTGCAGAAACAGCAGGGCCACATCCCAGCTGCCTGCACACGACCTGGGCATCRTTCAGGTCCCAGTCGTCATCACAGACAGTGCCCTGGCCCCCAGAGTGTGAAATCTCAATGCGACCCTCGCAGCGGTTACTGCCGTTCACCAGTCTGATGGTGGCATCTGGGAAAGAGGGAGAGATGGAGAATTGGGATGAGCCTCTTGAAAGCAGGCACCTTCTCTTGTCAGGGCCTTGGCATCACTCTATGAGTTTCATACCACCACRACTCCCAGTCTTGGCTGTGTTAWACTGCTTTTCCTGGCTTCTCCTCTCCCATGGAGAAGATAAAACACCAATCTCTGCATCACTAACTGTTTAGACAAGAGGAGTGGCCAGAAAAACGACAACAAATTCAGACCCACCTGAAGGTGCAGAGAGCACTAACCAGGATGAATCAGTGGTTGTGGCATCTGYAGGGAAGGAAGAGAAAGAAGCAAGTGACGTCTTGGTGGATGAAGAAGCATGGCCAGGTTACTCCTAAGATTGGGGATGCTGATGCTACCCTGTAAAATGGGAGATGGAGATCTTGGGGGCCTCAGCTCAGTGGTCTTCCATTGTGGGATCAACCAAAAGCATAATCCTGCACTCCTCCCCAAGACACACTGAATCCCAGCCAACAAAGACCACAAGCAGCTGCCTTCCCTTGTTGGGACCTCACCATTGCTTTACAAGTTTCAGGCCACCAGGACTGATTTCCTTGGCTTCATGAGGCTGTGCTTCTCCCAGGCTCTACTTTCCCATGCAGAGAACCAAACCCCAAACTCTGCAGCAATTACTGGTTCCATAAAAGCACTGGCCAGAAAACATGGAGAGATTCAGACCCACCTGGAGGAGCAGAGGACGTTACACTGAGCATATCAGAGAGGGTGGTATCTGTAGGGAAGGAAGAGAAAGAAGCAAGTGAGGTCCTGGGGGATGAAGAAGCATGGCCAGGTTACTCCTAAGATTGGGGATGCTGATGCCACCCTGTAAAATGGGAGATGGAGATCTTGGGGGCCTCAGCTCGGTGGTCTTGCATGGTGAGATCAATCAAAAACATAATCCCGCACTCCTCCCCAACACACACTGAATTCCAGCCAACAAAGACCACAAGAAGGTGCCTTCCCCTTTTTGGAGCCTTGGCATTGCTTTACAAGTTCCAGGCCACCAGGACTGATACCCTTGGCTTCATAAGGCTGTACTTTTACCAGGCTCTATTCTCCCATAGAGAAAACCAAACCCCAAACTCTGCTGCAGTTACTGATTCCATAAAAGCACTGGACAGAAAATGAGGAGAGATTGAGACCCACCTGGAGGAGCAGAGGACGTTACACTGAACATATCAGAGATGGTGGTATCTGTAGGGAAGGAAGAGAAAGAAGCAAGTGAGGTCCTGGGGGATGAAAAAGCATGGCCAGGTTACTCCCAAGATTGGAGATGTTGGTACCACCCTGAGAAATGGGAGATGAAGATCTTGGGGGCCTCAGCTCGGTGGTCTTGCATGGTGGGATCAATCAAAAACATAATCCCGCACTCCTCCCCAAYACACACTGAATTCCAGCCAACAAAGATCACAAGCAGCTGCCTTCCCTTGCTGGGATTTTGGCGTCGCTCTGTGAGTTTTGGGCCACCAGGACTGACACCCTTGGCTTCATGATGACGTGCTTTTCCTGGGTTCGGCTGTTCCATGGAGAAAACCAAACCCCAAACTCTGCAGCAGTTACTGGTTCCATAAAAGCACTGGACAGAAAACATGGAGAGATTCAGACCTACCTGGAGGAGCAGAGGACGTTACGCTGAGCATATCAGAGATGGTGGTATCTATAGGGAAGGAAGAGAAAGAAGCAAGTGAGGTCCTGGGGKATGAAAAAGCACAGCCAGGTTACTCCCAGTGCTGTGGATGTTGGTGTCACCCTGCCACTTAGGGGATAGGGAGCAATGTCTCAATCTCAAGGGTGTTTTTCTGTGGAAGGAGTAAGAAAACTAAATTTTTGGACACATCTTCAAAACGCTTTTTTTTCCTATCAAATGAGTCCATATTTTTTTGTTGCCATGAGATGTTGTGGATTTCCCTTCACTGGCAACTTTCAAGGTCAGCAGTGACTCTGAGCATCTTCTGTTTTRAACTGACTTTTGGAGGTTTAAAACAGAAGATTATTGAAGTTGCCTTGTAAGCCAAATTATTCTATGATTCTGTGATTACATAAGCATATTACTTATAATTCTTGTCATACATGGCTGCTTCCAATAACTTATTTTACAAAACATGTGATCAACAAATTCAGATGAGWTRTATTTTCCCTAGAAAGCTGCATCTYTTAGGATGGTGCAAGGYCTCTGGGGAWTAAGAGATAATTTTTGATGTTGTATTCCACAAGGGTATGGTAGCCTTTTCAGATAATAAAATGATGCAAACAGAAACAACTGAGGCCAAATCTGCCATTTAGCAAACCTTAGCAGCCATTTAGCATGTCTGGAGTAATGTTTGGTCAGTTTAAAGAGAATYGTTTGAATTTTTAACTAATACTTTAATTTTTAGTGGCAATTCTTAGTGTGCAATTCCTTGTTAGAAAGGGACAGAAAATAAACCAAGCATTGCACTCATACTGTTAATCTCATAAAGAGAAATCAAAGTCTACAGGAAGATGTGGTTGGGTGTGAGTAATACAGAATATTTATGTAACTTCCTTAAATCTGTGCTTCTAATTTGAAATACCCACAATACTTTCAGTCGTTTATAAACACATATTTATCTGTAAACTTAAATAAGCACTCAAATTTAGAATTGTTACATTCTCCAGGTTTTTATTCCATGTGCCTGAAAATCCCAAATTAGCAATATGCACACACTTGGGACCTCCTGGCACCCTATGGGATAGCAACTGTATCTTTCTACTGCACTTCCATTAAATTATATAAAGCTAAATAAGTATTGGGTGGTTCCACGTGCATTTGCAAGGCTGAATTTTAAATATTCTAAAGCAAATATGCATTCCAGCCAAAGAAACTCTAATCCCTCATGATTCCACACTGAAACACATGAATTTATAGGAACAAAGTCTCTGTCTTTCATGTCAGAATTCTTTTATAAAYTTGGTTTAAACTATGCTACGAGATACTAATGAAAAACAGAGCAATGATAATTTCATCATGTTAAATTCACTTCAACACAAATAATACTTAACTGTGGTATCAAYTGGTTCATATTTTTAATAAGACAACCTGATGTTATCTAATTTCAACGTCTTCTAATCTTTGCCAAAATTTGATTAAACTGGCATGTGAGTGCCATGTATAGACCCAGCGTAGTSAAGTGATTCACCCTTTTTCCTACCTTCTCGGGAAGGATTCGTTGTTTGTGGATTAGATGAGGYAACATCCAGSAGTGCTGCATTTAAGAGGAACAACMACAKCAAGTTCCTGGWGGTTCCCATCTTGCCAAGAGATCCCAGTAAAACCGAGCATCAGAATTTATACTCTGCACTGGTAAAAGAATGAGGCTCCCAAGGTCAGCCGGGTCCATGCTGTGTCTGATTTATCATGCAATATTTTTTATGATTACCTGATCTTTACAGAWGGATTGCATAGGAGTGGTAAAGTTTCCATTTCCTAGATAATTTGTGCTGTTAGAAGGGAAGAAAAGTAACTCGGTGCCAGCCAAAACCAGGATATGCCTTTATTATAAATTATCTTAACTGTATTTGCAAGCCCAGTGCTACCTTTGGAACCAGACTGGTGAATATATGTGTGTCTTTGCCTCAACCACCCCAATTTTATGTATTTACTGCTTATAGCTAATTGCTTGATTAAGCAGACCTTATGGCATTGCAGTGAGGCAGCAAATTCATAGCAGGTTTTCAGATAAATTCTTCAACAGAGTGTCCTGGTCTCATAAATATTTATATTTTAGTTCTCCATTTGAAATTGTAAGCTTGTTTCTCTGTTCTTTGAACACAAACAACACATCATAATGGGATTAAGACAGGAATCAGAAGAAAATTCATGCCAACTATTGGYAGCACACCCTAAGTGGACCTTACCTGAGAGTTTCTGTTGATCTTGCTCTGCTTTATCAGTGTTTTCCCTCAAACTACAGCTATGGTCCTCAGATGCATCTGCCAGCAAGACTCCCTTCAATCCCTTGAATCACACAGTTTATAAAAAAGMAAAGAAGGATGAATTAAAATCCAAAGTCCTGCTGAGCTGGTTTCCTTGGTTGTTCTATGTGAAATCTTGATGGAGTGATATAAAACTCATGACAGCCCCCAATCCTGTTTGCYGGGGTCATTATATTGCATTTCTACTGCTTCTGCTCAGGTGAGCAGAGAAAAAGGACAATTGTTGGTCTAATATTCTTTTCATTACACTCCCTCCAGGCTGTATCTCTCTGTTCACTTTGGCTACAACACCAGCTACAACCAAACTGCAAAAGTTGGACATAATTCAATATTCCTGTTGGAATATTCCAACCTTCCTTCTGTAAAAAAAGCACAGCTTGATTCTAGAGACAAGGGGAATAAAGAGTCCTCTTCCTGCAAAAATTCACAGTGCTCMAATGGAGGAAAGAAAGACAAAAGGCCAGAGCCCAGAAATTGAATCTGAAGCTGTTAAAGCCACTACTGAGAAGAACAAACAAACTGGAGGACAATGGTAAATACAACCAATTGTACTCAGATGTTAATAAAGAAATGGAAGCCTGAACATTGCTATTCACAGCTCTACTGCTCCTGACTGCYTGACAAGAGCAAAAACAGTACCATGTGCTCAGTGGAGTGATCACACACTGTCATTGGGAGGGGGCCATGGGATCATAGCCCAGACTCTAAATTCTTGAAAAATGAGCCAGTGGTGCCTGGTGGCAGAATCAGAAACAATGGACCTGAAGCACAATAAATTCTACTTAACGCAGGAAAAGGGAATTTCACTGTGAGGCGAGACAACAGCAGAATAGGTTGCCCAGCAATTTCCTCAATTCTTCAAGATATTCAGACCAACTGGGCACARTCCTGAGCAGCTTGTTTTCTTTGACCCCGCTTTGAACAAGGGGATGGACTTCAGGATGTCCAGATTGCCCAGCCATAGCTGGTCTGAGACACTGGGAWCAGAAGATTTATGGATGATATCAAGGACATTCAAGAGCAGAAGACAACTAAACGCACAGTGGCTGAATTTATCCACAATAATGAAATCTGCTAGAGTGATTCTTGAATGAAAACTTGGTTGTCAGGCTTCTTTCCTGGCCTCACCAGTTTCAGCTTACTGGTGCACTTCTGGCACTTCCAGTAAGTGTTCTTTAACTTATATGAGGACCTATGCCTTGATAAGAGGCAACTTTGATTTGTAGAGGCTAAAACGTGCCAAGGTCCTCTACAAAACGTGGCTCAGATTATCCCTCTTTATCTATTGCACACACTGGGATCAGAGCAGCAGGAAGTTTTGCACAAAATAAAATACCATAAAAATCGGCAAAAAAAAAGGGAGTTATGAGACTGCATTCCGGGTAGCAGATCAGCAATCTACTGCTGTTCTCATACAAGGAATAAAATAAACTGTCGTAATCTTTAGATGTCTTAATACTTACTGCATTCTTCCTTGCACTAATGAAAGATCTAAAAGCATCAAGCAGTTTTTTCTTAGGAATGTGCAGCTTTTCTAATTAAAATCTGCACCAAAGAAAAAATTACCAATGAACAAAAGACATTTCTTCCTATCTGCAGTCCAGTAATAAGTGCAATATAATCTAGTTTTCTGAGCTGCCTGTTTTATTTTCTCTGAATCACACATGTTGCAAGATAGAATACTAAGYAAAATATTTGCCATTTCCCTTCACATTTTACTTTTTCCTCACCTAACTGGGCAGATTTCTGCCAGTGTGCTTTTTATGACGTGAGGGGTACTCTATGTCTGATCATCTGAGGCAACAGTATTTATTGAATGAGTGGGTAATCACAATTATAAATACACCTCACCTTACCTCCCCCACATTACTAGGCATTCTATAATGATTTGTGGACAGGGAAGGGAAGTTTGTTAATTTTGCCACAGTAAATGAAACCAGTTTTACACATATATTGTTGTATTAAATATTGCATGATGCCAACTATGTGTTGACATTTAACTGCGAGCCAAGAGAAGCCATTAAAATTAAATATTTGAATTAGCAATTGTTTAAATAAGTTATGTGCATAACTTTTCTACCTATGACTAGTCTCCCAAATTCTTTGTAAATGACTGGGGCAGTGAAGTGTTTGCCTTATCCTCTGCCTGATCAGGCCTCCAACACAATCTCAAAATCCATCCTGCAGATAGATATTTGCTGAAATACTCCCTACTCGAGTGAAACACTCATTTTATAGATTTCACAATGACTCTGTGTGTTGAGGGCAAACATACCTCTGCCTCCACTCTGGAAAACTTCCAAAGGCCMAGCCAGACTGTGCCATACCCTCCTGCAGAGCCTGGCACAACTGGGGCATGGCCATGCCGTGCCAAGCAGCAGGTTTTGTTCCTTTAGCATTCAAAGACAGTGATGCAGTGATAAGATCTGCCTAGTGGGCTCCATACTGTGTTTGTTGCTATATAAATTACCAAGAATTAGTGTAAAGAACAGAGCCTAGAAGCTGGCTGTACCATAATTCATGGGCAGGCACTGGCTGCAGTAACTGGCTGCCCAAGTGCTCACAGCTTCCTGGGAAGGGCTGGCAAGACTTGCCTGATTAACCCAGGCACTTCAGCAAACATCTCTTTGTTAGAGAAGATGAATTTTGTATTGATCTATTTAGCTAAATATAACAGAAAGGATAAGAGGGGAAAAGGTGCTGAAGACATGTTAAAATGAGGGGATATAAAACATTTTATGGCTTTCATTGATATTCAGATTATTAGACTGAGTTCAAGCTCAACAGATGTGGTCCAAGAGCAGAGCAGATCCATGGGAATGTTCAAAGTACTCTCAGAAGATTCTGCACTGTATTTACAAGTTATCTGTTGTAAGAATCTCATCCATCTCATCCCCTGTTTGACCGATATGCTTTTCTTGAGGATTTCATTGTGCTGCAACGCAGGCTTTGGTGTTCCCTGGTCCATGTGAATACAATAACACAGTGAATCTACTCTGTCTTGTCATAAGGATGGATGAGTCATMCTTTCAAAAAGAAAAGGACAATAGCCATTGACTTATTCCATTGTTCTCTTTGTAGCTGACACCCTACAGTGTAACAAGATTGGTGTAGTTCTGAACCAAGAGCTTGAGCTAAGAAAAATAATAATATGAGCTTTTACTGAAGTGACCAGCAGCCTTGAAAGAGAAATAGATGCTAGCAYAAGCCTTTTCAAATGAGATTTGGAGGAGCGCTTAAGGGAAGTGTGGCTAAAAAAAGCAAATGTGAGAGTATATATTAGTTATTAATAACCATAATTTGCATTTACTAAGAGCACTTTAATGACTACACCATTTGCCCTAAATTTAAGATTTGATATAGAGCTGGATGAGCTCTATATCATTATAAATATTAAACTTTCCCTGGTCTTTTGGCTTCCTTCAATGTTGAGTTGTTATGTCAAGCCCACCTCTTCTCATGAAGAGAGCTGCCACACCCGTCAGGGTCGGATTTTAATCTGGAATCATCAGTGAAATTACTTAATGCAAGGAAATTGCTCAATCCAGCAAATTACTCAGGTGTTTACCAAGGTTTGCATAATCTGGTATGAAATTACTTTCTCCACTTTATGCTTCAAGAAAAACCCAACAAGAGTGAAAACAGTGATTGGGGGGAGAACTCGTTGTAGTCTGCAGCTTCCTTGTGAGGGGAAGTGAGGGGCAGCACCAATCTTTTCTCTCTAGTGACCAACAGGACGTGAGGGCATGGCCTGAAGTGTCAGGGAGGTTGAGGGAGGATATCAGGTAAAGGTTTTTCCCCGAGAGGGTGCTGGGCACTACCCAGGCTCCCCAGGGAATGGTCCCAACCCCGAGGCTGCTCCAGGAGCGTTTGGACAGCGCTGCCAGGGATGCACAGGATGGGATTTCTGAGCTGTGTGTGTGCAGGGCTGGACTCAGCAATCCCTGTGGATCCCTTCCAAATCAGGATATTCTATGATTCTATGAACTGCAGGGGGCCAACATTTATTAAATAATTCACAAGAAACATCAGAGGGAACAGCAGCTGAATTCATGTTTTCCTGGATGACAAAGGAATTCAGCTCTGGGAAAGATGAAAAGACCTGGCCATTGTATTATGTCCAAAACATAAAAAATGGGGGAAAATATTATTCTAGATTAACTGATTTCTTGCATTYTTATACATCCAGACTCAGGTGTATATTAATAAAACTCATTTATAGAACTTAAACTGCAATTTAAACATTTGAGYTTTACCATCAAGAAAGCAAACAATGAAAAAATGCTTAAAGATCACAAGTTTGACTTCCCATAGAACTGCTGAAGTGGAATTTTTGTTGTATGAGGACGGCTGATGTGAAGTGGAATTAACAGGCATGACTCAGTAAGCACGTTCTATTTATTCTAGAGCTTCTGGCAATCTAGCAGCACAGATCCTTCCAGAATTCAACTGGCATTTAAAGATGCTATCTGTCAAAGGAGACGCTTTTATTCAGATTCATGTTCATTCCTAATCTAAGAATCAGATTCATGTTCATTCCTAATCTAAGAACCAGGTTCCCAAAGCTGTATTGGGCCAGCAATAACAATCACACTTTCTGAGCCAGAGCTTGCCTCTCTCTTGGACCTTTTAACACAGCCTTGGTAGCACCTGGAAGAATAATCATAGGCCCTGCACACCACCAGCTCACACTGCAGGTAAACCAATGGACTGCTCCCAAAGGACTGGAARGCATTGAATTTAAACCGGAGGATGTGTCTGTAGGGTGAATAATATGTAGCATAAGTAGGATCTCGAACACACCTATAAAGAAACAAAAAACAAATGCACACTGCAGTCAGTCATTTACATGTGATAAAGCACGTGACTTGAGAAGTGATTTTTAAACATAATGAACACGGTTCAGAAAGCTGCAAGTGGGAAAACCAAAATGCCCTTCTTTGGTAGAATTGAATATTACCTTTCCTTAGTCTGTTGTGCGTCTGATACCTGATGTTTATATGATTTGCTGAAGGTAAATTAACCTTAAGTGAGGTATGTCACTGTCACCTCTTTAACAATAATAATAATAATAATAATAATAATAATCCATGGTGAACTGCCCATAGCCATTTAGTCTACTCCTTTTTTTTTAGCTGTGGGGTGTGTGGGTTATATTTTGGGTCAATCCATCCCTCTTTTCCCCAGTAATTCCTGAATGCCTTTGTCCATTAATTAGTTAGAAGCTGTCATTAATGTGTGCTATATTCAAGCTACTCCATTGAATTAAAAAGAAATTAATAAGAAATACAGGAGTTCAAAGGCAGTTCTATCTGTATTTATAATGCACATGAACTCACCCATCCTTGATGATGGCATGGGCTCCAGTAGAATTGTGGCTACTGGGAGATGCCAAACAAGTGCGTAGAAATAACACCAGGTTTGGATCAGAGCTGTGCAGCTGAGCTTCCAGGAACAAACTCTGGTTGATGCTGACGTAGWAGGGTGAGTCATACACTGGCCGTAAGAAGTTGGAGGAGTTGTAAAACGTGAGGTTCACGTCGTATCTGCCATACTGAGTTTCATTGATTTCCTCAAGATTGTCGTTTGCTACATACATCAGTTGTGCCCATGTGTTCTGGAGCATCTTGCAGTTGACATGCAAGCGAAGATTTTTATTTCTTGAGGGCRATGTACCAGAAGAGAATCCTCTAATAACATTGGAATAGGTGATTGTGTTGTTGTTTACCTGTTTGGCACATAAAATGAAAAATTAATTCATATAGTCAGATACTCTATTATACATTCTAAACTTTGCTGTATCCTTACAGCTATGTGCACAGTGAAAACATTATTTTCCAGAGGGTCTGATGTGGAAAAGTCTGAATCTGGTAATTTCTGTTCTCTGCAATCTCGATGTGATATTGCCARCAGCATCTAGAAAACTACTCACATYAAGTRCAGATTTAACTGAAGYAAATAAAACCTGTACAACATTAAACACGTGAAAGTTCAGGTCCAGCACAATATTTAAGYTGAAATCTGGATAAAACATGATTAGTTATATTTAGTGAAAACTCTGAGACCTTTTTAACTATCACACTCAGCCTGGGACCTTGACAATCCCAAGTATTTGTATCCCTCCATAGCTTATTCCTTAGGAGATTGATAACAGGCTATAAGGGAATGTTCTGGCAGCAGAGGCAGGAAGTGCAAGTGTTAATAAACCTTATCCTCCAGGAGAGGCAACCCGTAATCACCATGATCTGCAGATCCCAGACAGGTTTCAATTTGTGCTGCTTTTCAAAGTGAGTTCTTCTGTTTGAATTTTTATATCATCCCAGTATTTGCTCATTTTGTTGAAATGCTCAGCCCTACCTGTCTGATGGTGCCACACTGAGTGTATGGAATGTCGAATGTCACATGCTCTGATGTGATGTTGGGTGTGCAAAAGGGGTCGCTCAGGCTGAGATTCCAAGCAGAATATCCRTGGGACTGAAGGAAGTATCTGCTCACAACTACGCGCATGTAGTCTGGCAGACACAGCAGTGCTAGTGGATGGCAAAATAAAAATGTTACAAGCTCAGTGAAGTGACCAAGAAAGGTTGTATGTAGTGAATTAAATAAACAATATCTTTTGCAGAAGTAGCTGATATGGCAGGAGTTCAGAATCCAAACCATGGACTTGAATCTCCATGAAAACACTATAGATCTTAATTTAAAAAAAACATTAACAAGTTTAACAGTGAATCAGAAAATAATTAAAAAGCAGGTTTTGCTTTTAAAATGAACTTACCGGTGTTATCATCAGCTGGAGTGGAGTAATAGTARGCCTGAAACCCTCTGTATGTGTATCGAGAGTTACTGTGAAAGAGGACAGTCAGCAGGTTTGAGGAAGATGTGTAACTGTGGTAATAACCAGAACAAATCTTCCCCAGGAGAGGAGAGGTGTGGACGGGCCCATCGTAGATTTCCACGTAGTCAGAGAGGCATTGGCCACCTTCCATCCTGAGAAGAAAACATAACTGTTTTGAAATGCTTCATTTTCATTTTCATATTCTTTGTTTTTTGTTTTGTTTGTTGGTTTGGTTTGGTTTTTTGCTCAGATTAACTCTCTATAGCAGAAGAATACATTTGATTGATTTGACTGTCAAATTTTTGGAACTGAAACTACGGCTTCCAATTTCTGTCTCAGTAGATTCAGTCACATCTTTGATTAAATAAGCAAAAATCAACACATTTTTACTCTCCAAATGTACTCAAAGCTTTGAAAAAAATCCTTGAAATCAAGTAGGCCTTTGCTTACTAAGTCTGAGTTGTCATTCACATGCTTCATCTTCCCGAGTAATAAATTCTTACTTACTGAATATCTTCAAATACAAGTGTGACAAGGAAGTTGTTCTTTACTTGTATTTCCCACACACAGTTGACATTGTTTGGATAATTGCTGGGATAAAATGGACTCTGTAAGGAACCAGATGAGGAGGAAAGCAAGCCACCACACGAATAATCTGCAGAGAAAAATACGAGAAGAAAAAGATATGCATGCACCTTTAGGGTTGCTTTTGGAATATGTCTGTGCCGAGTTTATGCCTAAAGTTTAGAGGCAGTGACTTCTACCAGCTTCAGAGGTCTCTCCATTAGGTTGGTACACAWCTGAATGCAGGTTAGGAGATGCTAATCACACTGAATAGGTTTTACAATGCTGACCTGCAGTGCCTGCACTAGAGCAGGACACAAATATTTGCCATAGGACTGCACAGTTTTTTTTGAGGTTGGAATTCAATTCATAAATGTGAAGAATGCACCAAACTCTCCAAACCTACCTGAGATCGATGATGGGGTGGTTGTCCAGCTGGGAGCTGCAGGGAGAGAGCAGCAGGTGAACACTGAGCATTTTGCCTAAAGGAAATTGCCCTTTGGGAATCAGCCCTCCCCAGATGGGCTCCAGGGACACTAGGACACCAGCTTAGCTGGTGTCAGCTCCCATCATTGTTAATTGTCAGCAGGGTGGACCCTCAGCAAGTTTGCCCATGACCCCAAACTGGGAGGAGTGGATGGTCGAGCAGAAGGCCCTGCTGCCATCCGAGGAACCCTGGCCCCCAGGCTTGCTCCTCCACAGTTCCTCAGCAGCCAAAAATGTTCACTGCACTGGGGCTGAGCACATCAGCCCTCTTCTTTTTGGGAAAACAAGAGGTAGCCATTGGCCTCTGCAGCAATGAGTGTGCCAGGGCTGAGCAACTCTGCCTACACCACAGGCCAGGAAAATTGATRATGGCTCAGTGGCAGCTCTGAGGGAGGAGAGAGCCCTGTTCCTGCCTACCAGGCAAAGAAACAGTGTCTGGCAGCAGTTTCATGGCCATTCTGTCCTGAAAAATGCSCTACAGCYRGGAYACCTCTCCATGGGGTCAGAGGRTCTGGATGCCYACAAGGTTTTGAGAGCCACCAGAARCTCTTTGTGGTTGAGTTTGAGCTTCTGCCTTGGCAAAGAGTAAAGAACAGCTCTGGTCTTACCCATGGTGCTGTTGTAGGCAGGAAATGATGAGTAGTAGGCGTGGAAGCCTCTCCCGGTGGCGCTGCCATCGCTGCGAAACAGCACGGTGAGCTCGTTCCCGGAGGAGTTGAAGACTCGATGGTCGTCCCTGCACACAAACCCGAGGCTCCAGCCCTGAGAGGGCCCTCCGTCATACACCTCAATGGTGTCATAGAGGCAGCTGCTGTCTTCCAGCCTGCAGGRGGAGGAGGARCCATCTGCACTGAAGGCTGCAGGARCTTCAGGGCCTGGCAGCCAGGCTCCATACCCACCACAGCACGGCCCTRTTCYCACCTCRGCCYTGTTCCCACCTCAGCCCYRWTYYCWMC